TTTATTTTTGGTTTAATAATATAATATTTTATAAAGATAATAATTAACTGTTTTGTTAGAACTCAATGATTATACTAATTGTATTTTAGATTTTTTATATTTAAAATGAGATGTTTATCATGTATTTGATTGTGTTTATCTGCAGTTAGTTACACGAATTCAGTTATGGGATGAAATCGGATAAGAATGAAATTGTTTACGGATGAACTGGTTTAAGAGTTTTAAGAGTTTAAGAGTTTTTAAGAGTTTTAGTCAAATGCTTTATAATATAGTATAGATATATCCACTTCATAAAATAACATAGTGAAACACTTGCTTTTCCATAATTGAGTTATCCTTTTCTTTAAATACGTTTAATGAAAAATATTTAATATATACAAAAATATGTTTAATTTTATATTTATAATGTTTTCAAATTAATGATGTTTACAGAAATTATTTTTAGTGTATAAAATAAACATAATTAATTAAAATTTATTGTTATTTAATAACACAAAATAAATTAGAAGTCATTTCAACACGGTTTATCCAATGAAAAAATGATGCAGTTACCTTGGTGACGTGGCATGTAGCGGTACGTCATCTCACATAATTATCGTTGCCCTAATGAAAACTCGATCCTTATTCCTTACAATGATATTCATAGAGTACAGAAAAAACTTTTTTTTTTAATTTATATAATATTTATATACGAAAAATGTTACAAATAAACTCATATATCATCTTCACATTCGATAAAGTTTGAACCCCTGACCTCTTCAGAAATAAAAGGCTATGAAAAGCCAATTATATTAGAGTAAAGAAAAAAAAGCCAATCCTACCAACGACATTTAATTAAAGCAAAGTTGATTTGTGTAGTGATAATGAAGCAAAGAAAAAGACATAGTTTTTTTTTTATTGACCTGGATATCCAACCCGCAATGCGAGTCGACTAATCCCAGAGTGACCACCTGCTTTGCAGATAGCCCGGAGTCGTCGCATTTGAACCTCCGTGGCCACAAGAGGATTTTTATTCTTCCTTGGATTTGAACCTGGAATCGCCTGGTACTTTTAATCTTTGGAGTCAAGCTCAAACTAATCAGACACCACCGTTGTGGTTAAAAAAAAGACATAGATTATGTTGGAAGAAAAAAGATTTATTGAAGAATGTTATCTGGAACTCTTTGTGGGTGATCAAATTATAGCATGAAAATATAAAAAAGAAAAGTTTGATCTTGACACGAGTAAGCATATATGAAAGTGATAGATCAGAGGGGTTCAATTAGCAAGATGACCTTATTTTGGAAATTATAAACGTCATCCAATGATACAGGGATTTGGTTCAATTACGCGTTGCTCGATTATCTGATGGAACATCGAAGTTAACCGCGACACAAACAATTCAATTGTCGTAAGGACTTAATTAAACCGCTAATATTTCAAAAGCTAAACCTATATTTCATCAATTGAGCTATCTTTAAAGATTAACTAAAATATATACTTCACTATAAAACCATAAGGACCAAATTAAGCTAGAAAAGTATAGTAATAATTTAACAAAATGCTACTTGTGAATCTTAAATCATTCAATTTGCTTTGTTTAATTGATTCTCTAAGTGTTGCCTGATGAGAAAAAGGGACAACAATATGTCCAAGATGAGGTATTTTCATTTAAACTCTACATTTGGGAACCTATATATATATATATATATATATATACCATTAGTTTATATGTTGAATTTTGGAATTAATTAATTTCTCAAGAATCTATCTACAAGGTGGCAAAGAATTTTTCTGCAGTAAATTTACATCTAAAGTATGGTTTAAGAGGATCCTTCAATACCTAGGTATGTTAATTAATGCAATTATATTCGAAAATTATATATTTACGATCAATATAACATCTCTAACTTTGGATCATATATATATATATATATATATAATTGATGATGTAGCTTCACCAATCAAGAACATCTATGATATGAAAATAACACATAGACAAGCCAAGGAACTTGTAAATCTCTCATGCTCGATTGTCATAGGAAGGCACGACCAATATGCTGTTTGGGCGATCTTACAATCCACRATATTTAGAGCAATAGAATCTGGGATTTCTGAGGTAATTGAGGAGTGTATATTAGCATACCCAAGCATTATTTGGGCTTCCGATGGGTTCTATTTGTTCCATTCAGCCATCAGTCAACGCCAAGAAAAAATATACAATCTTGTCTACCAAATGAGTAGCTACAAGACGTTTATAGCAAGTCACGTTAATCATGATACAAAAGAGAACGCGTTACATATTGCTGCAAAGTTGTCCCCACCTCATCGACTAAATATTATAAACGGAGCAGCTTTACAAATGCAACGTGAGCTTCAATGGTTCAAGGTGATCATAACGGATTAATTAAGTCAATCATGAACCCTAATTGGGATGACAATAATAGTTGTTGTCCCTTACAATACTTGTAACGGGCAACAACTATGTATATTTCAAACATTAATTATCACTTTGTGCAGGAAATCGAAACTAATTTAGTACAACCCGCATGTAAAAACGCTTACAACAAAGCGGGGAAAACTCCTAGAATGGTTTTCACTGATGCGCATAAAGACTTGCTTAAAGAAGGCCAAGAATGGATGAAAGAAACGGCATCCTCAAGTACCGTGGTAGCAACACTCATGGTCACAATGGCATTTGTAGTTGCCTTTGCGGTCCCTGGTGGAAACAAAAACGAAGGATCTCCGGTGTATTTGGATAGAGGAGCCTTTACGCTTTTTGTCATATCAGATGCTATTGCATTATTTTCTTCAGCTACTTCGGTGTTAATGTTCTTAGGGATACTGACTTCACGCTATGCGGCAGATGACTTCCTTTACACGTTGCCAAAGCGAATGACGATCGGACTTGTGTTCTTGTTCTTGTCGTTAGCAGCTACCTTGGTAGCATTCAGCGCAACTCTTTCACTGGTGCTTCAAGATAAAGTGACATGGATTGCAGCTCCTCTTCTTGTAATAACAAGTATTCCTGTGGGTTTGTTTGGAGTGCTACAGTTTCCTTTGCTCATTAAGCTGGTCTACTCCACATATGGACCAAGCATTTTTCACAAGCAGAACAAGAGAATGATTCATTAATTAGATACAAGACAAAATTTAATTAAGTGTGTGTTTGTAGGCAAAGATGTTGGAATGCATTGTTGCCCAAATAACTTTTTATTTGTAACATCTTTTGTGATATTCAAAATAATTTGCAGCAAAATCTTGAAAGCTCAAAGGTGAACATTATTAATTAGAGACCGGAATGATGTATACACTACAAAACAAATGAATTTTACCCATATATATATGTTAGGGTTTGAGGTTGAACACAAACAAATCACCCAAGTGAAGATCTATATATCAAATCGAGAACTTGACTCACATTCTTGGTTTTATACAAGAGTTCAAGGGGCGATTGTGGTTGGCGCCTCGAGGGAAGCCGGTGTACACATAAAAACTCAACAAAATCGAAGGAAGCTAGGCGACATAGGGCGGACGGGGTATAATGGCAGCAAAGGGCGACATTCACCACGGTCCTCGTTCATCCTCCGTCATCTTCTTCTTCTTCGGGTGTTCTTTGAGTGATTTCATTGATTGATTATCTGGGTTTCTTCAATGATAGGCGATTTGTGTGCCTTGTGAATTTTTTTTTATTTTAAAGTGAAATTCTACTGATTATTTAGTTTACGTTAAGAACAAAACCTCGTTAGATTTAAGTTTTTGATTACAAGTATGTTTCATAATCTATGGACAACCTCACCTGCATTCTCATTGATTTCATCCATTGTGATGCTGATCGTTCTTATTTAGATCACTATATATAGCTCTTTTATATTTTATTTTTCAATTAAAAAACTTTTACACCCTTAATTTTTAAACGATGTGTTCTCAATCATTCTCGATAAAAGATGAAAATGATAGTCTATGGTTTTACACACAAACAAATATTAAATCAAATTATAGGTTCTCAATCGAAAATGAAGGTGGTAGATTATGATTTAATACATATAAACGCATACCAAGTTAATGAATGGATTCTCGACCATTCTCGATCGGTCTTGATAGGTTCTCGATCGGTCACGATGGTGTTGATGATGAAGAACGTGGTACCTTGTGATGTTGAAGAAGGTGATGTCGATTTACACACTCACGATATCGAGTTATTGTTCTCACTTGAATGTACATAAATATTTATGACGAATAAAACACATATATACCATTTCACAAAAAAATGGTTAAAATGAAAAGAAAAAAAAATTATATCGAGAATGATGTAATATCGAAGAGCATAAAATTCTAGCTTTTTTGATATAATTTGTTTGACTAAAATATTATTAATTTTAAAGATAATTTAATTCAAACTTTTAAGAAGGTAATTTTTTTAATAAAAAGAAAAAGAAGAAGTCAAAAAAGATAAGGCCTAGATTGAAATCAAATGCTTTTTTTACCCTTAATTACCTTAATTAATAATTATAATTAAAAACTATATTTAATATAAGTTGTTAGATCAAATAAAATGAATGGTTGAAATCAGACATCACGTTTACAATGAAAATTGAGTTTGCATTTGAACTTTCCCCCCTCTCTCCCCCCCATATATATATATATATATATA